GTTGTTAATAAGAAGTTTCATTTAAAATTTCTGAACTTGATATAAGCTCTAAATCAGAGACCTTTGTCTCAACGTACTGCATATCAACGTTTGCATTACATTTGCATAACGAACTATAATATAATCAGCTAGAATGCTTTGAACTGTTACTTTTGATTAATAATGGGGCGGATGTTATACTTCTGCAGTCTTTGTTATGCCCAAATTTCTGCTTTTATACAGAAAATTAGACCCGTACCACTCCTGTGCTCTGTTTACACAACAAACTACAGGTCTATTAGCATAAAATTTACTTGTCTAGTACGAAGAGTTTGGAAAAACATATTCCATGTAAATTATGCTAAATATGAATAGAATAAATAAACATAACTTTAATCATTTATGTTTTCTAAAATCATCCTTTATAAGTATTTGCAAACAAACTTTGGTTGCCAATCCAAGTGATGTATATACTAAATATAACTTTCAATAGTTGAAAACATTCGCAGTTGTTTGGTCGCAATTTAAAATAAAACAAAGGCTAAATGCATTTTGATTTGCAGAGTTATATTTCCTGCTTGTTTTCTCTAAATGTAAGTGAGAGCATGATTGTTTTTCACATAGAAGTCGTGAGTTTTTTTCTTTCGAAATGTAGTCTATGATTTGAAACTAAAACATCGAAAATTTGAATTTTACCGAATATTAAAAACCGGGATTTCTTCTCTTCCCTTTCTTAGGAGACGAAAAACTAATTACACGTGACTTAGTAAAGAAATAATGAAATAAAGACCATGTAGAGACATTAGGTATTTTTTTGGAAGCAAAAGAGGTGAAAAATGAGCAATGCTTTCTCCGGGAATCGAACCACGGACCTCTAGAATACGGGCCCAGCTTGTAGACCACTACACCACGAAGGTACTCTAAGAAGGTGGGAGAAATACCTTATATACTACCCCTTTTAAAGGGCGACTGGGGTTTTAGGGGACCCAATCACCAAATCATGAGTTGAAGAATCATCATCCACCGCCCTTTTATTTGGGGCCCGCCCCACTTGTAGAGACATTAGGTATTTTTTGAAAGCAGGAGTCATGAAAAATGAGCAACGCCTTCGCCGAGAATCGAACCACGGACCTCTGGAATACGCGTCCAGCATGCAGACTATTACACCACCAAGGCGCGCTAAGAAGGCGAAAGAAATTCCTTTTAAACATTAGAATTCTTTATGTCAACTTCCCCAAACTCAACAAATGTTCTAAGAATAGGAATCCCCTAAAAGGACAGAAACGAAATGCTCTAAAATTGAAGCAGTAAACATTTTTTTAAAAAAATTATTAAACAAAAATTTAAAAAAATCGTGAAACGTTTAACATAGCAATACGATGGGACAAAATATTTTATTTGGAAGACAAAACTTACAAACGTTTTGTACACATTAAATGTACACATGGTTTGGCATCTGAATAACTTCTGAAAGTTAATAAAGATCTAAACACGTTCATTGTAGAATATCAGAATTATTTTTAGAAATTTCCTACCTTCCTCTCAATATCTTTTATTGTTATTGTGCCTGCAACAACAGTGATGTAAATTTTGATGAAAACAATGAAGTTAACCGAGTTGAACATTTAAGTACTTCGTAAATTTCGGGTCATGTTTCTATAATTTTATTCATCACCTCTACGTACGTAGCAAGATGCTTTACACTTATAATGATAGTTTTCGATGCTTTATTTACACTACACTTATAATGATAGTTTTCGATGCTTTATTTACACTACACTTATCATGATAGTTTTCGATGCTTTATTTACACTATACTTCATACATAAAACGATAGTTTTCAGATGAATAATGAATGAATAATTCGGATAGTAAGACAAAAATAGTAACTAACAGAATGGTGATATTAGATTTTGATCTTGAAATATCACTTCAAAACTGGTCAGTTTATCGTGACATCTTGTGACTTTAATTAAGGAAACAGCATAAATTCTGTACGCAATGTATGAAAATACATTACGTATGAAATGTATTACGTATTTCTGTATGCAATGTATTCATACATTGCGTACAGAAATAAATATTAACTGTTATCAATTAGTTATACGAATTATACATATCTTAAATAACTAAATATAAGTATAACAGAATCGTCAGATTAAATAGAATTATAGATCAGAACAAAGGTACATACTTTGAGCTATGCATGGAAGATACGTAACTGAAAAGAAAACAAAGACTTGAGTTCTTAAAAATATATTTAATATTTATAATGTGGTATATGTATGAAGCATATTATGTCAAATGACACTGCTCTGAAAACTGGTTATTTTCTAAGCCGTGAGGAATATAAACTAAAGATCTATTACCTCGAGAAATGCCAATACTTTACAGATCGCATAAATGATAACCAAATGATAACTGCTTATCAAAGCTGGAAGGTATATTTAATTTTTCTTTTCCAGGTTTTGTACGAATTAGGATCACAATCAAAGATGATCGATTTTATCACCAACTTCTTTTGTTATTGAATCGCTTGTCATGTAGAAGTTTATTGAAATTTATAAAATATTCATTTGCAGTTAGTTCTTTGACAGTCCGACCAATTATAACAATATGAAATTTTTCCCGTATTCCATGCACATTTTATCCAAATATTATATTCGGTTTTGAAATAGGTACTTGACGTCTATCTGTATATGCTACCGCCTTTTATTTTTGACGAAATAAATTTACATACATTTGATTAAACATCAAATATCTATCTTTCATAAAATCACAGTGCTGAATTTTCTCTCAAGTTGCATATTATGTATTTTGTTACAAATGTTATATGCATTATTAATAGCTTTTTTTAAATGCCTTGATAAACAATTCTTTTGAAGTCTGAATTTCCTTATCTAAACAGCAATACTGACACAAATCCTAGAAAAGATGTATTTAATGAGAATGCGCAGTGCTTAATGTTAGATGCACGGTTTCATTCCTTTATTGATAATTCCTTTAAGATTGCAAGACTCAAGCGAAATTTATATTTCATTTTCTAACGAAAGCATATATAACACCATTTAAAAATACTTACCCTTTAAAAAATGTAGTAAAAATAACATTAGAATTATATACATTCTTCGATCTTAATTATGTATTATAAAAATTAAATATACCTTTGCAGTTTAATGACTTTGGCGAAGCATAATAATAAAAGGCCTTAAATTGGCCTTGATAGCTTTATTGTTTTCTTAAATTAGAATAATATTAAACGTGATTTTCGCCAAAGCAAAAAAATATCTCTGTACAAATATTCTAAATGATATTTTATATTTTTGTAAAAAAAAGAAGCAAAATCCCTTATTTTACTCTTAAAATCTTTGAACTTCGTTTAAATTGGCGTTTTTCCCCATAGTCTCTTGCAAAATAATGTCTCATCATTAAATTTTATGACTGGGAAACACTGACTTTGCATTCAACTCATTTTGTAGCACGTTGTGGAGAATGATGCAATAGAAGATACCTTGTGTCAGCTTTTCAGGAATAAAACTTCCGCTTAATTCTGTGAAGATTTTCATGGACAACACTTCAGTCCTCGGAGTTTATTTGTTATTTAGAAGCATAATAATATAAGAAATTTTAGAAAAGCGAAAGTTATAATTATTGTAGCATAGCGGTTTAGAACTAGGTGTTTTCAGCATAGCGGTTTAGAACTAGATGTAACGTATGCTTTAGAATAATGTATCTGCGAATGACATCTTGGAAAATTAGGAAATACAAACAGTTCAAATATTTTTATGAGTAACTTTATGCTATTAATCATTATTCCTTTAAGATTTGTATAACTAATCCTTCTTGTAAATCATATTGCATGCAATAAACTAGTTGCATTAGACCTAGAAGTGATTTATCGCAGAGAAAACAACGCATAAGTTTTATTTTAGTTTCTTGATTATGAGATTCGTTTTACATTGTACATTTTTCAGTTTTTGTACATGAATATTGATTTAAAAAAAATTCGAAGATTTTTCTTTTTCGTTTTGTTGCTCTGATTGCTTTGTTTTAAATTTTTTAACCTGTTCTTACGCATTTAATGGTAATAAACTGAATATAAGTTATTTTACTTTACTATTACTTCTATAATATTTAGCTGTTAGTTCCCCATTCATCATTTGTAAAAGAACCTGTTTAATGTTGAATTTCATATTTTAATTACTAATAACATTATATAGCTTGCTTTAAATAGCCCTTTACAGAATCAATAAAACTGTTCCATATGTTTGCTAAATTGCTTTTAGTAATGCAGTTTATAATTATAGAATCTAACTTCATTGTTCTAAATTCTAAGAACTACCTTAATTTTTCTAATAATGTTATAGAACAATATGATCGACCTAAATCATAATAATTTAAAATTTCTTACAAAATCTGATTTCTCTCATGTCAGATAATTAATAAAGAACGTTTCTAATTTATTATGAAAGCGTAATTCGCAATACACTTTCATAATAATTTAAAAACGTTCAAGTTAATGGGTAATTTTTCGTTTTATTTGTATAACATTGTCATTTTAAAATATTTTAATACATTTTGGAGATACTTTGTTAAAGATTTCTTAAATCGTTTCATTTTTTTACAAATGAATCAGTTATTTGAATACGAATTTAGTAATTTAGTGAACATCATGTAAAAGATTCCCTGATTTTATAGCACAGAATTTCAGCTGTTTACGTAAGAGACAAATTATTAATTAAATTAAAAAAACTTCAATAGAAAACAAAAATGAAATAACGTCTTTGTGTTTTGATACCGTTTGCTCATTTATAAACAAAAATTAATCCATTTTCACATAAATGAATTTTGCATTTCAAAAAGAATTTAGTAAGTTAATATGTAAATATAGTATACATAAATAATTTGAGATTTACTAATGCAAACTTTAAGATGATTCCATAAGAAATAAATCAAGAATTTAATCAGAAAAACGTGCATTAAAGCAAAGCAAAATAAATAAACATAAAATCATTTCTTACTGAATTCTGACGACACTTCGTCTTTGCCTAGCGCTTTGAAAAACTTTTCCTGCCACACAATATGAAACACGATAATAAACGCCGTTACTCAAGTTCTAAAAAAACTCTTTTCAACTCTAGTTCTGTAATTACATCTAAGCTTGAAAAAATAGCAAAAACTGAAAAAGTACGTAATTTGAATTTTCTTTTTGTTCGCCTTCGTCCGTCAAAAAAATAAACAATAATCCTGCTTCTAACCAACTTGAAAACTATTCTTTCTTCTCTCTTACATGACGAAAACCAACTTCTGAACCATCTCCGCTGAGAAGCTCTGGCATTCTGTGTTCCTTCACTTCGGCAAGTACAAAAGTCAGTAGAAGCGCATGCGTGTGACGTCAAAGATAGAATTCAGGTACCCGGATTTTCGTTGCCGTTTTACTACTACTACTACAAAGTTTACGTTAACAGTGAGAACAGCTGTTATAGTTGCCGTAATACTACAAAACGTTTATTACTAAAATGAGATAAGCTTCTCTTTTACAGCGTGAGTTAAAAACGCTAAACATTATCGATTCAATAAGCTTTGTTATATAATCAGTTACTTTCTAATAATTATATTAAGTAAAATCGCCGCTAATTTGTTTGTATCAAGCAAGCATTGAGTTTTTGCAATAAAGATGAATAATTAATTGCCGAGGAAAGAGAAAAAGCTTTCAATTTTAAAGAATATCTAAGACAAGCGTATTCCTTCTCTGTTGTGTGTTTGTTGAGTTTAGATTTAGTAACTCATTACAGGAAGATAAATATTTGATAAAGCACAACTTAAGTATTTAGACAGTGTAAGGGTAAAATACATTACGTACAAATGTATTTCACAGTACTCCTTAAAACCGCGTTTTATTTCAAATGTAATTTATTCATATTTTATTCAAAGAACTAGATAACAAAAAGCATAAAATAAAACAGTAAAACTTCAAAATACCATACATATACCCAATTATAATCTGTTAATGTTTTTAAGTGTATCCTGTGTTTTAACAGAATAAACTATAAAATTCGTTTAACGCTTTATAAACTTTTCTTAGGTTATGTGCGATTAATTCTACTACCAACAAATTATAATTGCAAAGAATCGCGAGCATGTATCCTTACTAAAAGCAATAGGCATAATCAAAAAGTATATGCGTAAATATACCTACCTTACTTACCCGGCTTAAATTCTTTACTCGGCCTTTATTTTCGCAATCGTTGATCGTAGACGTGTTCAATATTACAAAGTGCTTTAAATGATGAAAGTATTTATCGTTTTGCAATGACAAATTTAAAAATAAGATTTAATTTTGGACAACATATATAGTTACTTGCGACACAGATAGTCACATAAAGAGGTAATTCTCAAATGAACGTTTTCTCCAGTTTCTTCCTTCAGGAGTCTGCAGAGTTTGACGTTCTCTGTTAACATACAGAGTATTTCGCTCTAAGCAGACATTAAGCGATTTAGCGCTATGTCTAAAAGTATAAAAGAAACTTGGTGTACAAGACCCTTTTCTTTAAAACTAAATTGATGAATAGAAGGCAGTAGTAATGCTAACAAAATCCTCCAGCAATTATGGCGAAAAACTCAAGGTATTAAGCTAAATATAAAGCTAAATTTAAATAACTAATATCCAATGGTTACGCTGAGAAACTTAATGCGAAATTGGCTCAGAACTTCTCCGGGGTAAATTCAACTATCGACATTCATAATGCACGGCCGAAGACATTAACTCTTATCTAGAATAGCCATCCTAGCAACGTTGCCTTCAAGAGACAGAACATGTTCTAATTTAACAATCTCAAAACTTCCCTTTAAATGAACGCAAACTCATTTGCATTCTGGAGGGAAAACGAAAAGCGAGAAGTCATAGTGCAGACTCAGAACATAAAATAGCCGTTTGCTCAAATTAAAGAAACCTCACAAGTCTTATAACTTCTCAAATAATTTATTTTACGATTGAACAGTAAACTGTAAAGTAGTATCTGTCAAATGGCTGTCCACGAAGTTATATTATTCGATTAGTTTTTATCTTCGAAATTATTAGATAAAAATTTTTGCTAGCGCACTTGAAAGTGTTTAAGAATATTTGTTTTAGACAGATGGAAATAGTTTTATCACCCTTGATTTCATCAGACATCACATGCCTGCTCACCCCGAATGCAGTAAGGAATATATTGAAATATTTTATTCACAAACAAATCTGTTGGTGGTAGTCAGAAGTGTCAGCCAAGGAATTGAAATAAACGTATTCTAATAGAATCTTAATATAAAACACAGAAATTGAGTCTGATTAAATAAAAGAACATATTTCGAACCTATCACAAATGAACCAGGCAATTCGTTTCTGCAAGCTGCATAAAAATGTTCCTTTTTTAATCACAAGTTAATATGAGCATATACGTTATCAATTCAAAATTCTTATGTCCCATTAATGTGAGGTCTTACAACTACAACAACAAATTCAAAAATAATATTCTAACAATACTTTTTCGACATTGTCATCCCCCAAATTAGACATATAATTCATTTTTAAAAACTGTTTATCCATTTTTCATTATTCAAGAGTTAATACGTGTTTTTATAAAGTAAACAAGTGACTGTAATGCAAAAATGCTGAATTTTTTATTAAAAGTTCTTTGTAATCTGTTAGGAATTAGTTCTCTGCCCAGGTAATGACACATTTACATGAATTTAAATTATTACCTCTAATTAAGTTAAATTTTAGACATTATCCTGTCTTCTCCTTAGTTTAGTTTAACTGCATTTCTTCAGACTGTAAAGTTATGCAAATTGCTTTGCAAGAGAGCGTAAAAGAACTGCGATGCTTGTCATGTCTTATGAAAAACGGCCTTGCTGTTCGTAACTGTTAGCACCGCTTTAACTCTATGGGCTGAAAAGAGTATTTGCTTGATGCCGCCAACCAAGTTTGGCTTGTAAGTAGAAACATCCAAAGAAGCACTTTAATAAATAGTTTAACGTAAAGTTAGAACACTTAAGTACCCTAATAAATTGAACGTTTTGGATTATATCAATCAAATTGTAGTCATTTGCGGATTACATCAACTAAATTCTGCTGCATATTCCTGAAGTACCGTTAAATTCATCATGCTTTTTACAATTTGTCAGTTCAATACTGATTTATATTATTTAAGATATCTCTTTGATGGTCTTTCTTTCTGGAAGGGTATTTCTAAGCAGTTTTGCATAAGAAGAAAACAAAATATATTATTCATGAACGTAAGTACAGGAGATTACAAGCTAGCGGCTAAAAACTGGCAGTGCTAATTTCAGAACAGATATGCTTAACATTTATTTACACGAAACATTATTAAAAATTTAAGAATAATATTAATATAAAAGTCGTATAGCACATTTCATTAATTTAAGTGCAAATCAAAATCGAATATATTACTTTATTGCTAATGGTTTTAAGAAAAATATGAAAACAAATCTCAAATCTAATATTTATTTTAAAGAAATTTAGCAAAGAGATAAAATTGTTTATTGATTGAAAGTAAAAGAAAAACTCTTTTATTCACATATCTTTTACGATTCATTATGTAATACAAATATTACATAATGAAATAAACTTATTTCATATGAAAAATATTACATATGAAATAAACTTGTATTAGAGTAAGATGCTACATTTAAGCGACTAAAAAAAGCAACAGATTGATGCTTCATCTTTAAAAGTAAATTGTTTATTTCTTGATGATTCATTTCATTTACCTCAAAATTTCTTGAGGTTTTTGATATATTCAACAATGGCAAAGTTATATTTTGTCCTCATTCTCAGAAGCGATTATTTCTCCAAGGATAAAAATTAGGTTCAGTAAAATTATCTCCATTTATATATTCGTATATATACACAGTACATATATTGTAGCTAAAATCATGATTGTATGACATAATACATTCCACCTCTTGTATTTCCTAACTAAATCCTTTATCATACGTATGTCTGTAGAAAATCATAGTGTAAAGAGAAATGACAATGATCACTATTATTTACTGAATAGTTTTAATTCTCAGTTATGTACTAAAACGTTGAATTGTTGCGTTCAGTAATTAATTCATATTATTTACGATAATATTTGAAGGATTGCATGTACTGAAAAATTACGTCTAGAGTAATTTATATTATATCCTAATATTAACATGATGTTGATGTCTAATTAACTTCTAAATTAGTCTTGAAAAAGAAAAATGAAAATGTAAAATATATCCACTTTTTGTAGTAAATTAGCTGTAAGTTACAGAAAATCATACATCACTTCAAAAACTTTGAAATATTTTCAGTCCTTACATCAGCAGTGTAAAAATACTTAGTTAACATTTTATACCATAAAGTAAACTAAAGTAGTTTAAGTTAGTTATCAATAGTTACTTCGTACAAAAGGTATTGTCTGTACTTTACTTTTAAAGATACCAGCTCAAAATCTGAAGATTAATTTTTATGTTCTTCCTGTGTTTGAATATGTTTAGTTAATCCATTTATTCTTATAAAATTATTTTAATGACTGTCCTGCATATATTTCTATAGTTTCTTTAGCACATCATAACGGAGAAATTATGTGTGACTGGTGACAGTAATCTTACGGTAGAATGTTTCATTCTCTTTTTGCAACCACTTAACTACAATATTCGTATCTATTTCAGTTTTTTAACTCGCCCAGAAACAACATAATAATTATTTTACCGAGTTGAGTAAACCAGAATAATTAGAAAGAAAATGCATTTGTATTTAATGTGTGATTAAAATGTAACTGAGAAAAGTAGCAAAATCTACTTACTACTCGTATTGTTTTCACTTTGTGGAAATAACAATTCAGAATTGTTATTCCCGCATTCTAATTTACGTTTAGATTATTATACATGTATTTAACATTTTCCACATCTTACGATAATGATTTATAGACTAGAAATTCATTGCAAAAGCAAATTTTGACCTAGACTTGTCAGTCTTTAATTTTTATACAATCTTAAAATCTTAAAACTGACGTAGCTGACGTACTTTTTTTAATACTCGTAAAATAGAATGAGTTTGTTAAAACACTAATTGCAGTTTTTATTTGAAATTTTCTTAATAGTTTATTGCTTTCTCTTCTCATTCACTAAATACTTATCCAACGGAAAAGATTTAATCTCAAAAACGACAGTTTTTTGAGTCTTTCGCAAAATATGTGCCTATATATGTTTAAATGAAAGAAAAATATGGCAGACCTTCCTTTAAA